TAAGGCGCGCTGGTTCTGTAGGGCTACTTGGGCTACTGATGTCACTTGCTGCTGTAGGGAGGCTAAAAGAGACAGTAGTAGACTCCAGGGCTAACTGGAGCTTGTCATTAAAGTCCTGAGCAATGACCAGACTGTTCCCGAGGCCCCCCCCCCCCCCCCCTCCCGTGAGGCCTACTGAGGCAGTGATACTCACCCCTAACATGACCGGGAGGAAGACAGCCCGGCGGGTCCGGGGGTGGGATGGAGGGAGCAGCCAGGCGAGCTCCGACTCTCCATACAAGGTTAGTTCGTTTGGAACTACCGTGACCATGAAGCAAGGCCCAGGGTCAGAGGAGTTCATGCAGTTGCTTAAGGTGCCGTTGCACCAAAAGAAGGTACCTGGGCTGGCCTTGGTGAGACTGGATGCGGTGTGGTTTCAGGTACAGTTCTAAATGACTTGTCCCCCAGTTACCGGATTACTGGTCTGGTAGCATATCTGTGGGGGCAGGGTGGGCTCTGGAGTTTCGGGTTCCCAAAGGGGAATGCCAGCCACGGGAGGCTGACATTCACCTTTCCCTTGGGTTCTTGAAGAAGTCATGAGTGGGACGGCAGCCAGCAAAGACCTGTCTGGGTTTCGCTGCCAGGTGACTTGTTTGCCGTTCTGGTAGTAGGTTTCAGGGACCTTGAACCTCCACACAAGAGGGTGGGGGTGTGTGTAGGTTGCTCAGGGCCTGGAGGAGAAGGAGGAGGGGAGGGCGGTTAAGGCAGACGTTAGTGGGGCCCAATACATCACATTTATAGAAGTGTTGCTGCTCCGGGGTCCTCTTGAGTCTGGAGAGGCGGTGCCAGGACAGGTCTCTGGAGAGGCGGTGCCAGGACAGGTCTCTGGAGAGGCGGTGCCAGGACAGGTCGTCAAGCTGGGGTCGCCAAGCAGCTTGGCCACGGTGGGGGCTGTGAGGATTACAGTGTGACGTCCCGTCCACCTAGGCTCCAAGGCTTGTGGATGTAGGTTCTTAAGGAGGACCGAGTCACCAGGGTGAAGGGCTGGTCCTGGGGGTCCTGGGAGTCCTGGTCGGTCGGCTCTGGCTTGGGCAGAAACCTGTTCTCGTGTTCTCGGAGCAATTGCCTGATTAAGGACAGATATGGGAGATACGTACCCAGGGGAGGGGGATCAGTAAGGAGACAGTGGTTGAGCAAGAAGGGTCAAAAGGGCTCAGGAAAGTGGGGCTCCTTGGTGTAGCCCGGACTTCTGGTCAAGGCCATGGGCAGGAGGTCCGGTCCAGGAGCTGCGAATTTCTAAAGAGAGTTTAGTTACATGGTCCAATAGGTTGGAATTGAGTGGCTATGATGAGGGTTCGAGCCAGTGACAGACGAATCCAGCAGGATGTAGAGGAGGGATTGATGTTAGAGAGTAGATGGAAAGTTGTGTTGATGAGTGTGGGCGTAGGAGTAGGTCCAGGGTTTGTAAGTAGAGAGTGACACTAGAGGATTTCCCATCCCAGACAGTAGAATTGATGACTCCCTCATCATTCCGTATCTGTTTCCCCTGAAAATATGAAAAACCTGAGAAAAATTGGAGGGGCGCTTGCCAGGTAAGAGCCTGTGAGGAATGATGAGTCATCTGGTCCTGGATGGTGTCGGAGAATCTTCTTCAGGGATGGTGGGACGCACTCGGTGAGCCTGAGAGAGGTAGGTATTGCAGTGAAAGTGGGAGGAAATGTTAGAATGCGCTGCTATCCAAGGGAAAATGGAAGGAGCAGTGGAAGCCAGGGACCTGGAGGCTGGAGAAAAGGCGGGGAGGGGGAGGGAGCAGGTCGCGCAGCCTGTTCCCAGGCCTCTAGTCGCTTGGATTTTAAAACTGCTGCATTTTTCCTTTGGGAAGGGTGGAGAGGGATGGGTCAAGATCAGAGCAGTTTTCAGTTCAAAGGAGGAGACAGTGTGGAGGAGATAAAGAGATAAGGCATTCACAGCGGAGACTGAGAGACTGAGCTAGGCGGAGACTGAGCTAGGCTGACTATGGTCTGGGACAACTGGGCCCCATGACGGGACGCATGGCAGTGGGGAATCGGTGTCCCTGTAAAGGGGGCCAGGAGTGGAAGGAGCAGGGAGGCTGGAGGGCAGAGTGGCCGCTAGGATGGTGAGGATATCTCGTCCTAACAGGGGCACGGGGCATGAAGGCAGGACTAAAAACGAGTGGGTTATAGGGCTATGATGGAGGCAAGGAAGGGGTCCGGTGGCTAGAGGGCAGGTGGATTTGCCATCAATACCCATGACCAAGATCTTGGAAGGATAAAGGGGCCCTAAAAAGGAGGGCAGGACAGAGAAGGCAGCCCCCGTGTCAACCGGGAAGGTGACCTACTACCTTCATTGTGACCTGAGGCTCAGCAAGGGTGATTGGAGTCATCGAGGCTGGGCTTCTTCAGTCTTCAGCCAGTTTTAACATGGCCAGTGGTCATGGCCTGGAAGGGCGGCCCCCCCACGCTGAGGCGTAGAAGGCCCGCCACTTTTCCAGGGCAGTCACTCTTCCAGTGACCATTTTGACCGCACGCTGGGCAGGGCTTGCCTGGAGCCCGGGGCTGGGGACACTGCATTGCCCAGTGGCCTTCATTTCCACTTTTGAAGCATTCTCCGGTGGCGGCGTTCCTTTCATTGCACCCCCACCGCTCACAGCCCCCTTGGGGCCATGGCGGCTGCCATCGGTCTCAGGGCCACAACCAGGCGTGCCTGCAGGTCCACCTTCTGTCTAAGGCGGGCTTCCTGTTCAGATTCTGCCTGCTCCTCATGGGCATTAAGAACTTTCAAGGCCATTTTTCACTTGATCTCGGACCTGGGTTTGAGGACTAAGAAAGACCTTAAAGGTCGGGTTTAGAGAGTGGGGGCATAGATTCAGCTATGCCCTCAGTCCCCGCTGCTTCCCTCAGGGGTAGAATGGGCGCAGAAATGGAAGAGGCTGTTCTGGAGCTAAGGTTCTCAGGATTTGGGCTCTAGGGGAGAAGGAAGCTGCTTGTTAAAAGGGTCTGAAGAGAGCCCAGCTGCAACCTCTCACAAAGGGAACTGGCCGGCCACCTGTGAATTTAAAGTGCTGGCAGTCATGGGGGCAGAGATTCAGCGGAGCCCACAGTGGAAGGCGGGCAGTTAGAACTTAGAGAGGGTACTGCGTGGGGTACAGGTTACTAAGGCAGGCCTGTAAGGGGAGGGGAGAGCGCAGGAGAGGTGGCCTGGGTGGGCGTGGGAGAGGCACTGGAATTCTTTGATGGATGCAGTGTGGTCGTCGAGGACACCAGCTGCTTCTCAATCGTGGTTAAAAGTCACAACCTCCCAGGGGCGGGGCAGAACGAAGGAGGGACAGAAGGAATGTTGAGCCTGAGGACGGATGCGTGTGTGCCAACTGGGGAATGAAGGCAGGGTCGGGGCGGCTATGGCGTTAGCGGCTGTGGCAGTGCGAGGAAGGACGGACTGCGCGGCAGCGGAACGGGGCACAGTGCGCACGGCGGCAGCGGCGTGCAGGGGCGTGGGGTTGTAAAAGGCAGTTTGAGTTCGGCCGCAGCGGGGCGGGCAGAAGAGGGGAGGCGGGATCAGGAGGCGGTGGAGAAGGCATGGCTGGAGGAGAGTCCAGCAGGGAGGGAGGAGGAGAGAGTGTGGACGGACAGGGGCTTATGCCGATGGGAGAGAGGGCGGCTTTCGCTAGGGGAATTTGCGGTGGTCTCTGGTGAAGGGGAATGGGAGAACACGGAGACAACGATGATGATGGTGACGGCGCCGGCGCCGCCACCCACACACAGCACATCAACCCACTCCCACACACATACACCACACACACCGCGGGCTCGGTGGTGCACGGTGGGGGAAGCGCAGGGACAGCCCGGAGGGAGGAGGATGGACAGAGCGAGGAGAGATGGCGGAAGGAACTTTGGGGGAGGGACGGGGAACGCAGAGAGATGGAGAGAGGCTGAGAGAGAGACTGAGAGAGAGACTTGGACACATTTCCCAGTTTGCTGGCAGAAATTACTGAGATCGGTGCGACGGTAAAGTCAGGGTCCCGTTTTCAGACTGAGGCCATGCTACGTTACAGAAAAAGGACGCAGGTCCGGGACAGGCCCCGTGTTTAGCCAGATCGGCGAGCCGGCACCCTAGAGGTGTGCTCAGGTCAGGTTTGGAATTTGGATTCCCCGTGCTCGATACCCGTGGCCTGTAGCGGGGCTAAAGGCTGGCATCCCAGCAGTTTAACCCACGCTACGGACGGACGGACGGACGGAGGGACCGTGGGTGGGGCAGAGACGTCTCCCCTGCCTTCCCAGGTCTGAA